ACAACGGGATAATAATAAATATCGAACTACATAAAATACATGAATTGATGTTTCTATACTTAAAAATACATTATTTAAAAATTAATTCCCACGTAACGAAAAATCGTTCACACATAAAATATTAATTACTTAAATCACATTTAATTTTAGTCATAAAAGTGTCCAAGTTTCAAACATAAATTATACTTGTACTTATCATGTAATTTTTTCCTGGGTAATTTGAAAAAAAAAATAGGCGGCGATGTTTTGCGTTCCTAAAGGCGACAAAGTTGTTAATCCGCCACTGGGGGGAGTGCTCGTTGTTTCAACATAAAGGTGACACAACGGATAAATTCCCTTTCTACCAACGGGCTGAGCGAGAGAACAAGGAAATTGGGTGAGAACTAACCCACCGGCGCGCCTTATATTTAGAGCGACCGGGCAATTTCCAGCTACGTCACTAACGAAATTTTAAGATACGCCAGCCATCTTTGGAATTATTACGTTGCGGGCATTTCAGATTTAATTAGACTCCCAAACGCTCTTCGGGCGTTTAAGTCGGACAAATGACATTGAACACCATCATTCACGGAGGGTGGAAGACATACACGTATAGCAGTGGCGGCTCTGGGATTAGGCAACAGGGAGAGCACACAAAGTTACAGAATCAAACAATGTTAGGCATTTGAAAAATTGTTATAGTTGGATTGTTTAAGTCACATAAGTAATATTTACAATCAAATTATCTCCCCGGAAGACAGGCTAAACACATGATATATAAATTAAATTGAGTCTTCTGTTTTTACATTCTGTAAATCTATTACTCATTCTTCAAAATTAAATGAGTCTCGTAACAAAACTCTTTATAATGAAAACATACAAAGTCCATTCAATCTCTCTTCCGACATGGTATTTCTTAAAAATGTCTATAATCTTTTCAAAGTGAAAAAGCTCCCTCGGATTCTTTTATATAGCACATCCAGCTCAGATTTCAGTTTGCTAGCTCACGAACGGAGAGTACTGTGAAACGCGATCATTCTTTTGTATGGGGGAATTTTATTGATATTGTTGGAACGTTTTACAATCAAAGAGAGAACACATGGCTAAATTCCCCCTAAAATTAAGATGGTCATTTACCCCTTTGAAATTTTCGTACAAAAGAACGGTTGCCATTTTTATCAGATTGTAAATTTTTTATCTCAGGCAGAGGTTGTCCGATTCTCTTCATGCACAGCCTTGTTTCATAACCACATTGACTGTTTTCAGGCATTTTACAGAATTGGAAACCATTCTCAATCTCAATGCACAATACCAACTGGACGCAAAGATCGAAATACAGCATTCACATAGTTTCTGTACGGATCGGAATGATTATGCCGACCATGCCGATTGCACACTACTGCACTGAATTGTTGTGAAAAGGGAGATCAGTTAAACAGAATTCCAGCAGATAGCACTGGCCTGGACGAAAATCAAGCGAAAGGAATATTGTAAGTTTAAAAATCGATCAATAGATAGCGCCGAGCAACAAGGTTGCTACCTCCTCTGTCAGGCTGTTGGGCGGCGGCCGTCACAAGACGCCATTTGTCGGACCTACATTGCTATTCGAGCACTCGTTGTTGGCCACTTTTATGTTAGTTCGTTCCTTAACAACACTGCACTTCGGACACAGAGGCGAGTGCCTGCAGCCAATGAAAATTGTTCTACGGAACAAGCGGGAGTTGGAAAGCTAAAGATGTGTTCGATTCTAAAACAACCCTACAGACCCATAGAGGTTATTTTAGACAGCGGACAAGAGGAGAAATACTGATCTCAATAGGGGGGGGGGTAGTTTCCCTAGCGCCTCCCTGCCGCAGCCGCCACTGACATATAGCCCTGCTAATGTAGAACAAGGCAACAAAAAACGAAACTCCTACTTGCTCTTATGTGATTAACTTCGGGGAGAAGGGACAAAGCCTTCAGCGTCTCCGGGCGAGAAGTTTTTGCGCACAGCTATTTGTAACGCTTATTGACTTTTGTAATGTAACTTCTAAGACTCGCCACTTTATTACCGTCTCATGGCAACGCCAATCATCCATGGAAACACTAATATTTGCAAGCTATATGGATATAAGTTATATAGATAATACTTGCAAGTTATTTATATATAAGTTAGACAACCCCACAATAATTCGTTCACTGAGGCGCGATTCTACCGGGCTTGAATAACCGCTGCTTCAACTCGGCCGCGTGTATTTTCATCGATTGCTACTTTGATAGGCGGTGTTGGTCGAATGGGTTCGTGAATGCCGCCTTCGCCTCGGACCGATGCGACAGAACAGAAACCAGGGTGTGCTTGAATGCTCCGCCTGTCTCTTGATGAGGGTCTTCGTCCATTTTTATTTGATCTGGTCGTCTTCTGATGTGTTACGACCCCTTTCCCCCGTACAGGGACGGGGATTGGCGACTGGGTGGTGAAATGACGGGTTGTTTTGTTAGCGGGCTTGAGGATAGGGGAAAGGGGGGGAAAGGATGTGGGAGGGGAATGGGATGGGATATAGGAGGCGACAGGAATATTTTTGTCAGGTTCGTCTTGAGTTCATAGAGGGTTAGTAGTGAGTCAGTCGTTTATAATTTTTTTTGTTTGGACTTGTTTTTTTCTCTCTGGCCTAAGTTATGGGAGGAGGGAGTTGCGGGATGTCCAAGGGGTGTTTTTTACGAGTGTGCCGGGAGAGATTTCTTAGGATATGGTGCTGGTGTAGGATAAGGTTTTTAAACTGAGGATTGGTGATGAACTTTTATGGAGTTTGTACGGAGGAGGTGTAAAGATGGGTGAGGAAGCGGTGCATTTTGTACTGTGTTCGTAGGTCATTGAAGCGGAGGAGGGGGACGCACGATCTGATTACTCGGTTTTCAGTGGCAGTTAACTTTCTGTAGTTTACAATGGATGTATTGAACCAAGTGGGATGGGCGTAGGAAAGGGTCGGGCGGATATAGATATTGTAGGTTTGAATTTTCTTTGGGATGGGAATAGATGAATTTTTCAGGAGAAGGTAAAGTGCGTTGGTGATCCGGTTGTTTGCTTTCACAATTGACAAAAACAATTTCGAATGAAGTTCTTTGCATTGGAGCTTCAACTCCTTGGAAAACTCGCCGATAGATCGCACCTGCTCATCGACGCTGCACCGCCAGCCTGTATGCTGTCAACGAATTTCCGGAATCAAATGCTTTTCCAATAAACGCCACCGACTCATTGTTTCAATAATACTACAATATCTTCAATACTTATCGACTCTTACGACAAAGTAATAATCTTTGTCTATTATGTGTTGATTTTTTCAGAATTTCTCGTCTGATAAGAGCACAGAAGGCGATGCATAAAACCTCTCTCTTCCTGCATATGCTCTCCCAATCAATTCTAGTCGCTCACGAATTTTATTGTAGGCAGTCATAGTCAAGGGTTGGATCAGGAGTTGTGTCCTATTGCATTTAGCGGCCATTTCATTGTGATGTGGTGATGTGGAAGCAGGGGATTTTCAAGTCCTGGAGGTTTGTCTTAAGATTTATCAGTGTCGTAGTTAGGGGGGAGTCCTTTTAGTACAAATCTCTTCTGTCGCTCTATTGAACTAATATAAAACATTAAAAAGAATAAGTTCTGTCATGGAGATCAGTTCTAGTCGGTCACGAATTTTATTGTGGGCAGTCATAGTCAGGGATTGGATCAGATGTGTCCTATTGAATTTAGCGGTCATTTCATTGTGACTGTATTTCAAGAGGTCTTGGGTTGAGAGAGTTGGGTTTGAAGGGTTGCGAGAGTTGAGATCAATTCAGAAAGGTGCAATTTTGATTTTGGTCGGGTTGGAATTTAGTGGTTTGGGTCTTCTGGAGTCTTGTGGTCTTGTGAGATGTTGGAGGTACTAGCTTGGGAGTCAGGTTGTTGGAGGGGGGGAGCGGTTGATCAGGGGTAGGGATTGGATTTGGAGTGGGGGATCAGTCCTGGTGGCTTTGGTTATCACCTCGTAATCATCCTCGGCCATGAGTCTCTTGGAGCTCCTGTCGGGGGAGGGGTCGTGAGGTCGTCGTGCGATCAGAGGGGGGTGGCTCATGGCAATAACTGATGTCACTGCTGCAGTGCCTCTGATCGGATGTCCTAGGTTGGAACCCCGACAGTGACACTAGTTAGATAGCTGGGTCAAGTTCAATCGCTGTTTGGAAGAGAATTCCAGCTGCCCTGATCGGTAGTTTCCCGTAGTTTTACCGATCAATTCCAGGCGAATGCCGGAGCAGCACCCTAACAAACAGATCTTTCGTTCCTCTTCCTTTTCCTATCATCACCTCTTATCTGCACCCACTTACAATTACATGTACTACACTATCACACAACAGGAGACCGGTCGGGAGCTTAAGCAGGGGCGGTGCCTCGCCAGATTCCTGGTTGGGTAAATCCCCGCCAGATGAGGGGCAGGTCTCTGGATCTCACAATTCAGCGGGGGAAGATCATTGCCATCTCCCCCGATTAAACATGCACTACACTCACGAGAGTAATGACCTCAGCAGGTGACGCGCCCGGAATCACCAATCATTCTATCTAAAACTAAACTACGATCTACATAGTGACATAGTGGTCTCGGGATACGTCTTGTAGCCGAGACGATCGCGTGATACGTCTTGTAGCCGAGACGATCGAAGCAGTATCTTCGTTTTCAGCTCTTACTGGTGGTTAAAATTCCAACCATTTTACATTAAACTACGATGCAATTTGTAGAAAACAATTGTGTGCACAACTATACCAATTATATTCCAAATATGGCATTTGCATAAAAGGTTTTTACATCAATATCATATGAAGAACATGTTTGAAAAGTTTCCATGACTAATAATGGGCAAAAAGTGTATTTAAATTTTTGGTATCTTTGATTTTTCAACAAAAAATGTTCTGGCTGCAAAAACAAACATTTCCCCTTTTACTATTACTAACTTAGAAATTTGGAGAAAGACAAACGTTTTTTACATTGTGTTGTAGTTATTAAAAACCATCATACCTGATTGACAAGACTCCATGCAAGTCTTACAGCATCCTTAACATACTGCACTAGACCAGGGCAATTTTTCAGACATGGGTAGTCATACAGGGTTGCCCAGATTTGTGACAGAACTTCCTAAAAAACAAAAAGGAAAGACTGAGACATTGAATAAAAATGGAGGTAAAACGTTTTTTTATATCTTAGAAAGGATGTAATTTGTTTCAACCCAAGAATCAAAGCAAACTAAGTCTGTAGGGAAATACATTGTTATTGTGTTTTTGCTTACACCCATTATACCCTCAATGTACATATGTAATGTGAACAACACTGGGTGGTAACTGTCATTTCACTGTAAACAAATTAAAAGGTGGAATTATTTGCTTTGCAGTGAATATTTGAGAAGGCTATCCAACCGTTCATTTTCCTCATACAAGAAAGACAATATACCTCTTCAATTATGAGATGAAAAATGTATTCATCTTTTATCAACAGATTTCTATGTGATAATGCTGTGCTTTCATTCTTGTTAAAGGATAAAAATACAAAACAATATACCTCACAACTTTTACTCAAATCAAAGTTGTCAACAGTCCTCCTCAGATATGAAGCAACACTCAGTTCCAACTCAACAGCAGCAGGGTCTGAGGGCGCTTGGGATTGCAGTGATGCTCCCGCTGGGGTCTGGGTAGGTGGAGGTATGTGCAGCACTCGACGAACATGGTCCTTCTTCAGAAGCAGTAAGGACTGAGCAGCTCGGAATGCCAGCTAGTAGTGTGACACACAAAATGACACTCGTAGCAAGAAAGAATTGTTCATTTGGCAGAAAGAAAGACAGAACAGACAAGACAGGAAAACAAGGGACAGAGACACTAAGACGAGAAGATAAAAATATAAAATATGACAATACAATATATTCACAAAATATATTAAAATTTTTACAAAATTGTAGTGCAATCTTTGCCAAAACCAAGGTTAGTTCTTTCAGAAAATATTTTTGTGAAGTTACGTTCAACAGTTTTTGGTAAATTACCAAAAGTGGACTTCCCACAATGCAATCCATTAATGTTAAACTCCATTATTTATTATTTCCCTTTATTAATTTGTTAATCTCAATTTATGGATAGAATGGAATGCAATATTTTACTGATTGCAGAGACTAAAATTAAACTGTTTTATATTTAGTTTAATGATAGGATTGAAATTATGAAACAAAAAGTTCTGAAAATACAAATATTGTTTCCATACATGTACATATTGATAACATTCAAAGAATACTGGACTTATTAGTGCATGCTACATGCATTATATTGTAAGTTTGATTGCAGCTGTTACATGAAGGAAGAATTACTTTTGATGAAATACTCAAAAAAAAATTTCAATTTGTTATAATATATCCAGTTCTATTGAATTCACTTGTATCTCTTTTAAAACCAAACCTTACATACACACTTTGATCTAATAGCTCATACAAATTTCTGTAACGAAAACCCATTATAGTATCTGTGCATATTGTTTTTTGATAAACATTTGTTTTTCTAATTAAAATTCAGATTTTATTAATCCTATATCAGTTATAAACTTCTCTGTGAAAAGGTCATTCATGAATTTGCAATAAATGAAATAAATATTTTTGAGGACTAGTAAGATTCCGTTTCAAATTAACAAAACTTGACATTTTGAAGACATTTTGCTTCTAAGTTTTAATGAGTAGATGGACTTTTTATTTTTTTCAAGTAAGTTCCAGAATTATAAACCTCACTTACTGGTAACAAATTTATTCACTGTAACATTCACATGTGTTGAATATTTTTGTGTAAATGATAGTGTTAAGTAACAAGTATAATTTAGATGATTTATGTTTTCATTGAAACTTAGTATGTTGTATATGATTAGAGTATATTTGAGCAACCGTGTACCCCAACTAGATAAGAATTGGAAAATACTGAGCTAATTCATTATCATGCAATGAAAATTAATATAAGTTTGGGAAAAAAGCAAAGAAAGAATGGTAGTGACACCCCAACCAGACAGCCCTCAAGATCTATGAGTGTGCTGAAATACAGACTCCGGAAGAACGACTGACCGATGTGACTCACCACAACGACTGAAAACAAAATTTTAGACTTAAGTTCATCTGCATCCTTTAGGGGTGGCAGGTTGTCGAGAGCATCCAAAGCATCAACTCTTGCAGATGTGTATAGGTTGGCATAGCAACGCACCAGCCTCTCCCCTCCAGACAGGGCACCTCCACAGGGAGAGACAGGTGCAGAAGCCACAGAGGCTAGTCTGAAATCAGCAGGCACATGTTACATCCAGAAGAAATAAGACTGAGAACTTTTATGGAATGTACTGATTAATGCAATTTATTGGCACTACTAATTAAATGTTTTAATTTTTTATAGTATTATCAAAAATGAAGTAATAAAATAAATTATTTTCATGAAATATAGAATGTAATACTTTTTGAAAATTTTTTAAAGTATCTAATATTTCTGAATTGCAAAATAGTATCACAAATCAAATAACTCTTTGTGAGCTGAATAATGATTTTAAAAAAAAAGTACTACACATTCTGTAATCATGCAATAAGTCCATCTAATTTGTCAATGAAAAGAACACAACTTATTGAATTTTTTTTTCAAAACTAAGAACAAAAATGTCCAGTGGTCTTCTATGCCTGTCACAAGCCTTATCTTACTTTAGTCAATACTCAGTCTCCTGTGAAGTTGTTTGCTGTAGGAAGTCTGAAATTAAAATAATTTCATTATTATTTCAGCACACAATAAAAAAGTTTTTTTAAAAATTGCACATTTCAATTTTAGTGAATTCTGATGCAGTGAAATTGAACAAAATATTTGAAGAAGTTAATTTAAATGTAATAAAGAAGTGTTACCTATATGTTTGTTTAAATTAAATGTGTTAAAATTTCCCTTCAATAAGAAATGGAGCTGAATAAAAAAATTGTTGAAATTAACATCTCTTTTACTAACTATACATTCGAGTATAGAAGTACCTGCTTCAAAAGCTTTTAACATTATTTTGCATTGTAATCTATGACAAGGTTAACTAGAGATGCAAAAAGTTAATTTTACATTTCTTTTGAAATAAAATTCTGTCTATTTATGTATACAAACATTGTGTGCTCTTGAAAAGCTTAGAATAGAAAAAATATCAAGAGAAAGCATGTCATGTCAATTTCATAATTGAAGTCAAAAGACAGAAGGAACAAGAGTTTTCCTTGCCTAATATATAGGTAGGTTTTTTCCTTTCAAATTTTACCTACTTTATACTGTTTTTTATGTTAAATAATTAAATGTGGTCTCAAATCTTTCGTTCCTCCTAGCAGAAGCTTCTTACGTATTTTTCAAAATAAAGAAGGTAAGTAGTGGTAAAAAATATGTTATTTGATGAAAAATAAACAAAATACATTTAACATGAACTTGCCCAACAATATTGTCATTCTATTTTAATGTTAAAATATTGTTCATGACATGCAAGCAAACCGTCTAAGTAATGTATTATGAGACATTTCACTGCAAATTACTTTTTTGTAACATTATGCAGAATATATATAAGAGAGTCAAATCTATACTCATAAAATGTGAAAATTAGTAGAGAGAGTTATTTTCTCAAACTTGATCCTGAAAATATGCCCATTTTCACCAGAAATGAATTAGGCTTCAGAAGTAAATATACCTTTGTTTCTTGATTATGATTTCTAAAGCATTTACATTAGGACTTTTATAAATTTTATCTCCGAATGACTCCTACATTTCGTTCATAATTATTTATGCACGTTGGTGTTGTCCTATTAAATAATATAAACTAATAAAAACTACTGAACCTTTGGAAAATAGTAAATGATTGCTTTAATGGTGAAAGTAACTTCATAATGGAACCCAACTTGGAACATTTCTGATATCCGTGTTGCAGAATACATGCAAAGTATTTGAACGCTTCATAAATTTGCATTTAGAGCGCCTAAAAAGATCTCATTTTATAAATTAGAGGGTGAGATACACATCCCTTGACTCGTAAGGGACACTCAAATCTGACTTTAAGGGCCCAGAACGCATCTTTTCCGAGCAATGGTACCGTGTTTTGAACGGTTCGTGTGGAAGGTTGCATGTGCACTTGCCGTTTTCCTACAGTATACTCATACTATTTTGTCTTAAATATATTTGATTCAGGAGTGAATTTTCTCTCCAGCAGTAGAGAACTTACGAGTTTTTATGTTTATTATAATTAGTTCAAAACTCATCTATCTCATACCATGGCAGTACTCTAAAGTACTTCATATTGAAGGGATATGCTGGGATTCGTATTTTGACTCATTGATACACTGCGCGGGGAATAAACAACTACAGTGCCGCTCTGCGGTAGCGATTTTTACGGAATATTCAAATAGCAGTGCAAAAGATATGTTTCATACATATTGTAATTATGAATTTTCGATTTTTATTTCACGGGTTCTACTAAACGAGTTTCACTGTTTGTGATTAACATATTCCAGCGCGAGTCACTGTGGAGGTGGGGTAATATCAAGAAGGGAAATTGCGAGTTCAAACTGATCTCTGCAGAAAGATTCCGCTTTGAATCATCTCGCAACTGTCTTCTGGAGGGACAAAATAAACATCATATGAAGGCCGCACGAGTATTGCGTTTTGAAACTATTGAACTTTTTCTTCTCAAAATCCCAAGAGATCCCGCCCCCTTCTGAAGAGAAGATTGTAAGACGAAAGTGGATTTCAAGTAACCGGTTTCAACCTCTGCTCCATACTCTACCCTCATTGCTCCTCAATGTTGATAAAGTGCGATACTTGATTTAGCATGTAAAGTGTTTAAGTTCTTGTTATGGTGTTCGTTTTCAACTATTCCTACTATTTTGTTTGGTTTCCTGGTTGATGTGCGGCCTGCAGAAAGTGGATAATCTGGGATCTCCGTATTCCTTACAAGAAAAAAAGATTCCTATTACTGCTCGATTTAACAATAGAGTACTATTTACATTAGTCTCAGCACTAGTTCAATCCTTCACCTCAGCGATATTTAGCAGTTGAAGATAGCAATGTTTTCTTTCCGTAAGTAGAATTTATGCAATATTTTTGTTGCTGAAATAAATATTTTTACATTGTACACCGTTGTCGAACCTCGTAATTCAAAGCACATTGAGCCCACAAGTTATCAGGGACACTCCCCGAAGGCAACATTCAACGCGGTCCTGACGGAATTTCGAACTAAGCACTCCTGTTTATCATGTCAGGGTAGCATTACAGGAACATTGAAGTGATTAAAGATGGTAGTACTCAATGTTTTCCTAGAATACGAACTTTTATATTCCTTCTGAGGTATATGATGGGATTGAGTTTGACTCGAAGCATCGTGTTCCCTGAAAATTACACTTCAGTTGTTTACCTACTGTTATTGTGTTCAATAAATAAATGGAACGCGTCTCTTTTTTCGTGATTATTCATTGTGTCTCCACTTATGAAAGGATGTAGAATATCAAAATGAAAAACCTTGTATCAGTTCAACGTCCGAGTCATCAGTGGACAGAGTTCCTTTCCTGAGTTCTGAGTGCTGAGTCCACACTGTTGCACACGGCACGGAGGCGACTAGTCCTCGGCGAGCACCTACCTGTCCTTGAGGTGGCGCTCGGACTCGAGCAGCACCTGCACGCGCGTGTTGGCGCGGCTGAGCTCCGCGCGCAGAGCTTCCATCTCGGCGCGAAGGGCCGACGTCTCCCGGTCGCAGCTCGGGGGCAGCACCTGCAGCGAGGCGCGAGGTTGGCAGCCCTGGCAGCAAGGCAGCGCCACCGCCGCTGCCGCTGACGCCGCCGCCCCGCACGACGTCGCAGACCCTACGCACGCACGCACGCACCATTCAGGACTCGCTTACGCGCGTTCTAAAGGCTAGGGCCAGATTTTGGTATTGCGGGGCCTTACAAGGACAAATTCTTGGCGAACCTCCATCGGAAAGAACTTTTCAGATTTAAAAATTTCTGTCTTTCAGATGTAAAAATGTCTCAGAATAAATGTTACAAACTTGTAAAGAATGTAGAGGGGTCGAAAATGATCACTATTTGCCAATGAACAAGTAGTAAAATTTCATATTACGGAGAATCACTTGTGATATTTTCACCTGATTTTTAGACCACTCTTCATGCACAGATGTTCGGCGGGTCACATCTCTGCGTAGGGGTTGCCTGACAATGGGGGAAAACGTATTATAAATGCATTTAGTAACTCCGATATATGTATGTAATTTACCGGTATATGTTAATTGTAAAATGTGATCATATTCGAGCCCCTCTACATGCCCCAGAAGTTTGTAACATTTATGTTAAAATACCCGATTAATAACTTGATTTAATTTATTCAAAACCACTTATTGATCCGTTACATCCCACATTATACTATCATTCCGCCTCATCCAGCCACATACCACCACACCCAAATCTCACATTACGTCTCGAGAAGTATTCCCACTATGAATGTCTATTATTTCAAGTTAATCATTAAAAAAGGTTTGGAAGAATATTGAGGGTTTTAGGACTAAAATTAGCCAACAGTCTTACAATTTACACTCACACGTACACATCTATGTATTTTTTTAATTTTTTCAACACTTATTTAAGATGAGACACCTACATTTCTCAAGCCTTAGCGACCTCCGCTGTCCAGACCGGCACCAACGTATTATGAAGTTGGTATTTCAAAAATCTCACTCTTCTTATACACTTACAGTACCCCAAAGTAAATGTAATATTTAGAGCATGTAGAGAGGTCAAAGATGATCAACTTTTGCCAATTACCATGTGGTGGAAAATGTTATATGTCTCAATTATGCATGTTATATATGCACAGTTATGAAAATATACCGCAGTTATACATGTAACATTTCCGGGATGCTACTGGTAGGCCATGGCTCGTAAAGAGCTGTTGTGCCAAAGTACATACGTACATACATACATATGTACATATATGTAACATTTACCTCTGAATCGTAGGTGATCTATCACGCACTCGTGGTTGTCGAGTCACGTTCGGTCTCAATCAAAGAGATTTCGTGTACTTGTCAATAACCAATGCACGATGTCTTATGTAATGTGATTTGCAGGTGCAAGAAATCTCTTTTATTACATCAGAAGTGTACCTTCAAAACACCAATGCAAGATAAGTTGTCTCCAAATCAGAGGTAAATGACACATATGTAACTTTACACAACAAGTTCATTGGCAAAAAGAGATTGTCTTTGACCCTCTGCATGCCTAAGAAGGTTGTAACATTTGTTCTCCGGCATCTGTTCAGCTGCGAGGCGGCAGAGCGTGAGTTGAGGCGCTCACCCGCGGAGTTCAGCTTGTGCAGCTCCTTCTTGAGCTTGAGCTGGCGGGGCTTGAGGGCGTCGTCGGGGGCGGCAGGCGCGGGGCCCAGGGAGCCGGGGGGGCTGGGCGGGCCCGCGCCGGGGTCCGAGTGCTGATCCGAGCTGGCACCGGACGACGAGCTCAACTGCTGGCTCAGCAGCACTGACGTGCGCGCTGAAGACTTGCTGCTCGACCGCACTGTGCGCACACAAACACACGCGCTCAATTAGGCACGCAGCAGGAGGTGGAGACGGGGAACTAAAAATATCATGCATATTGTGTGACCAGTTCATGAATATGTCTGTTGGAATAATTGTTAAGGTAACTAAATTTACAGTATAGATATATCGTAAATAAATTATATTAAGGTCTTTCACTCCCTTGTGATTATTATGACTCAATATTTTGAAATTGGAGAACCTGAAATGTTTCATTCAACGTTATTCGTCACTTTTATCGCTAACTTCATTCAATACATTTACAATTCTATTACATTAAAAATACTTTATATTATAGTAATAATTCATATCACACCTTCAAAAATCGTATTTATTTTGTTTATAGCAAAATACGATAATTTTCAGGAAACAATAAAAATTCACATAACAACATAGTAGTTGTACATTTCTTTACTTATTTAGTTGAAAATACTAACATTAATACTATAATTGTATTTAATCTACAGCAGAAACGAAAAGAACTTGTGATCCTCAGTTATCTGGATCTCGTTATCCCTCAATGTTTTCTAAACGCACTGAGAAAATGCAAAGATGGGTCTTCGTTTCGCTTTTGAGCAATAAACATATATTTTCTTTCATAAATATTAGTTTTTAGCAATTTGACACCTCCGACATAAACACAATACCAGCAGGCAATGATAAAAATTATCTCAAGGGGCAGGAAGATTGTCACTGCCTAAGCAAACAACACGATATCCTCCGTTGAAATCATGTACAAATTCAGTTCACGAAGAAAGCGTATTGTATCAACAAAAACTATTTTATCTAAAAGGTTATCAAAGCTTTTCAAATTCAATAACTTTTTTGCTTAATTTGTTTAATGCCTTCGGATGATGAACATTAATCTCGTGATCGCATATTGCGGCAGTGCGTGAACGTATTTAATCTCGCGTAAACTCATATGACCATATACACTTGCGAATATATTAGTTGCGGAGTTATATCTTGCTGCAGAGAATCAAAGTCGAGATTTTAATGCAAATAGTTTTCACGTTCGTAGACACCGAAAAAGTGTTTCTTTCCTAACGTCAGCCTGACGCAGAGACTACCTGTTTGTTTCTTTCTTAGTCTGTCTGTCTGACTGTCAAACTTTCTGTGTCTGTCTGTAAGTCAGCCCGTCTGTCAGCCTCTCTGTGCGTCCGTTAGTGTCTGTCAGTGTTCATAAGTCTGTCCTCCAGTCTGACTGTCAGACTTTGCGTCAGTCGGTCTGTCATTTGCCAGTGTATTCGTATGTCTGTCCCTTTACTTGTTCGTTCGTCCGTCTCTCCATCCTCCTGTATGTCCATCCGTTTGTGCATCCATCTGTACGTCTGACTGTTCGTCTGCCTGTCCGTCTATCTGTCTATTCTTTCGTTCTGTCCGTAGAGTCCGTTGGACTGTTCATCTACATATCTGTACGTCATTGTCCTTCTGTCCATGCGTTCATCCGTCTGCTTGTCTGTCCGTCCGTCATTTCATGAACAATCCTAGCACTTAAATCATCCACAGGATTTTCCAAAATGAATATCCCTTCATCGGTCTGACCCGACCAGAGGACCTGCGAATTTGAAACGAATTCTTTGAATTTTGGGAGTACTTTGCATGAAACTCCTGGAGCATTTCAAACTTTCTGAAAAAATGGACACTTTTTTTCTTTAAACTTTTTATTCGGATAAAGGTAAATGCACTGAATTACTTGACATGAGCGTTATTTTGATGAAATATTTTAATTTTTCAAATAATAGTAAAATTATTCATTAAAAAGCGTTACATACGTTTTTTGTACTTTATTGCCTTTGTGAGTGCGAGTGCTTGAAATGATTTCTGATGAAGTTTCTAGAAAAATCAAAAGTTTTCTGTGAAAAGGAGTTCAAAATCAAATATTTTTGGAAAAGTCCAAACGACATTTTCGCAAAACCAACTCCAAATTTTTCAACGAAAATATGCATATAGAACCAGTTTGTACTCTTCTATGATATTTCTACAGTCATGTTTCTATCACTGTTAATTCCCCTACCTTTAGGGAGCCGCAAAAATGGAGAAAGAGTGAAACAACGTACGTGTTTTTTATACAATTATTTTCTCAATCTATACATTAATGAAAGTTAACGTAACTATGGTGTTACCTGATACGTGCGGTAAATATTATGATCTACAAAACAGCATTGATAGTTAATTAACTTTGATGAAATTGTTACTGGGAGTGTTGAGGACGTATTCCAATCCTAATTTTTTCATTGTTGCTATGCAAACGAATGGTGTCAAGGTCATTAAGGCACATAAATTCAACTTTATAAAGAAGCTTATAAGTAACTTGCAGCAAAGTGATCACTTTTAGGTGTACTATTATGTTTATCAAGTTATCTGTTTTACTTAAGCATAACATGTTTGGTAATATGGCACGTTCATGTGATTCAGCATCTCGAGAATGGGGTTGGGGAGTCCAAGTTCAGGCCAATACGATTATGGATTCGCGATTTAAGTCGTGTTCGTGGCGTGGGGGAGCATTCTAAGTCCCTGTCTTCTTACATCTGTGCCTCAACACTTTCTTATTTTCATGATCTGACAGAAGACTGAGTAAGAGATGTGTTTGCAATTGAGGAACTAGATCCCTGCAACCAGAATAATGGTACGAGCACCGATTTGGGACCGAACCCTGAGCAAATATGTAATGGCGAGGACCGAGAAACATCTATGCAATGTTCAGGGAGCGCGAAGAAGTTCACATTCATTGTCCCAGAGAAGAGGCTCTGGTAGCTCACTCGCGAGAGGTTCTGGTAGGTCATTTAGATGCCGATAGAAAACAGCTGGAAAGAGGGTGGAGGTAAAACAGAAAAGTGACTAGTCTAGACACAAGAGAATAGGGGAGTAACTAGTTCGAGTAAATTTGTGCCATTATGTAACACACTAGTCTATTTTGCTTTTTACTAAAAATAAAGTAACAACAAATATATTTCTTCTACTCGGGAGCACGTCACAAGCACGTCAGCACGTCACAAGCGAATAAGGAAAGTGTGAGTTAATACCTTCCTCTCCTAAATAAAATACATCGTTACCATGTTGTATAATACATTAGTAGTATGACATCAATTTGCGTGCGAATGACCGACATGAACTCTTCGTTCTTCGACGTTTGCTCTTGGGTGGCAACTCACCTGACCGCGTGAGAAAGTTATAGCGCGCGCGCTTGCTAACGTATGGGGAGTTGCCGGACATCATGATGGCCGAATCGGAGTCGGAGTGGTAGCCGGAGATGTCACTTGAGTCCTCGTCGTCCTCTGCCACCTCCTTCATCAGCTCCAACACCTGAAATGAAAAGAGTTGGCATGCCATTCGTGAAGTATTCATAAACCTTCTTCTTTTACACTATTGATGTTCTACAATGGACGTAAATATTGTACAAAAATAATGCAGGAAAATAATATAGGTAATTTAAATTTTTGTAACTTGTAATTGACCTTTTATAAATACTTTCATGAAGATTTTTTTAAGTATAGGCATTGGAATCTCTCTAGCACATACCACGCTGTGTTTATACCACGATGTTTTATGCGAATATATTAAGTACTTACAACAGAAAAAGGGAGTATATAGCAAAGTTTTTTTAATATTGTCAGTATTAGTGAAAATGCTGCGCAAGAATATCTTGTTTTACGACGTTTCAACATACACATTGAAAGAAACATGATATCATCTCCATTTACCATGACCTGAACGCTCTCTGGACTTGATTACAAACTAGGAGCTCGAGTTGCCGCGGATAAGCGTAGGGCGGATATCACTTAATTCAAGTTCTTGGAACTGCTCGTTTTATTTTCAGCTTACGTAACTGACAAAACAAAATCATTCACCAACCCCAGGTTGTTTACAAAACACCACCACCACCATAGGTTGTTTACAAAATAATGGTCAAGTAAAAAAAGAGACGGAGTATTTCAAGAGTATATTACACCAAAGTACAATATGAGTCTTATGGGAACCCGTTAAAGGTTCAGATGGCAATAAAATTTGACACAACTCGTGGTATTATTTCTCCATTTCCTATTTTTATTTCTTATACGAGCGAGAGCGGAGGTTACAAAAAATATATCCTTTACCGCCACATTTTACTACGCTAACTTCGTACGAAATTAATGATTTTATAATAAATTCATCAATAAATGTTTAAGAATATTTCGAAGTAAGATTTAAGTATTAAACAATTTTTTAATGCCACATTCTGCCTAGAAAAAATACTTTTATGACTCACTGCATCACTTGAAAGAAAATTTAACTCACAAGAAATATAACGATACGTAGAAATATAATGTAATTTTGAGAGCCAAGCTATTTTCGTGATGCACCTGCATATTAAATATTTCATTTTCATTCCTTGTACAAAACTCTCAAGACATAATTTAAAGAATATGCTAAGATTTTCCATGTTTCTTACTAATTTTTTACTTTTCTGTATTCTTACTTATATACGGAGTAATATACGTAGTATAGGAAAGTTAAATAATGCGGTGAAAAATCGATTTCGAGATTTTAAAGGAAATTACGTTTTGGAGTCCCCTGATACCGAAAAAGAGTTTTTTTTCAAACCATCCGTCTGTGAACAAGTTATGTAATGCTGCGAATAATCGGTTTCGAGAACACAGAACACGAACACACAACGAAAATACACGTTTTGCAATTTTTTCCAAATTGAATAACCTTCTGCTCATCTGGCTCGAGTCGAAGATTTGAGATTTTGAAAAATATTCTTTAAAATTTGGGGGTACTTTACATGAAGCCCTTCGGACATTTTCATTTTTTTCTTCATTTTCTTGAAATTTATTGCAAAAATAGAGTAAAATCTACTAATAAAGGTTTCATAAGTCAGATTTTCAGGTTTAACTAAGAATTTCCGAAGATTTAAAATTTTTTCGGGAGTCTTTTTACGACTATAAAATTGAAGATAGAAATCATAGTGAGTTCTTTCATTAAACACATGTACATTAAAAAATAGTTTTCGCGCAATATTGCGAGCAATATTTATAGTTTTAAAGAATTCCAATATCAAGATTTTCTCAAAAACAGCTTCAATTTTTTTCAAGCTTTTTCAACAGACAGTGCTAATTGCACTGTTTAAGATGACATAAAATCAATTTTGCTGTATTAATTTGTTTTTCTAAAAAAATTACACAAATGTAATTGTTTGAAAGATCTCTCACGCCTTTAATATTCACATATCCAGCAATTTGTAAACACTATTGCATTTGTGACTGAAAGTGCTTGAAATGTAATACGAAATTTTTCGAAAACTCAATAGCTTTCTGTGAAAAGAAATTTCGAAATTGCAGTAGCCCTTAAATGCCATTTTCTTAAAGACGGCTCCAAATGTTTCAATGAAAATTGCCATTTGGAATGTGATTATACTGTTCTTTAATATTTTTAAAGCAATAATTCGTCTCTACTATTAGGAAGCCGATCAATGAAGACAATGTCAAAAAAATGTACTTTGGGCGGCGAGAGGTGGCAGCTAGCAAGAATATGTGGCAAGTCCGAATAGCTAGCCGAGACCAATGGTAATAGATAATTAATACGTGAAAGTCTGTGCCATTTGTAGCACCACTAGTAAGGCACAGGAAAGTAAAGCTTCTCCATATTTTAATCTCTCTGTGAGAAGATTTAATCAAGGATTAGATTACCGTTGCTAACATTGCCGAAATATAGGTTTGCGTGAAACTGATTCTATTTTAAATCAAATTTATGATTATCGTAATTCAAGTAATCAGTGCAGGTTAAGAGTTACCGGCGTATAAATAGGTAACTCCACAATATTTTTGGAGTTAGTTTTATTTTATTTGCCGACTCTGAAGAGATAAAACATCTCTTCTGTTCGCTACACTACTGATCGACAACGAAATTCAAATACTCGACATTATGTTCAATACCGATTCCTCCCCCGACAAACATAAGTAAAAATGAGAATACCTTAATACTGGTTAAGATGTTTAACCAACAGAAGAGATAAGACTCGCCAACGTCCTTTGATGGGGGTAGTTTTCTCGAAAACGAAAGCAGCGTCTTTTCGCGAATCGGCAGGGGGAGAAAATTAGCGCAGACATTTTAGCAGTGCGTTCCGAGTGTCTGCGCAGTAACCAGGTCGCGCTTTTCCCAGCAGCATTGTCACCGCGTCCGCACCACCCGACGCTGCGCCACGCTGAGCCTCGCACCTCTCTCACGGGGGCCCCTCACACGCCGGAGCCAAGGCGTCGCGCCGCGTCGCGTCTCGGCGGCTGGCGGCCGCAGCCGTTCCGATGGGAAACGTGCGATTTTTTTTGTCCACAGTCATGCAAGTCAGAACTTCTGAGGGCGAAAAAGATACGTACACTCGTACATTTGTCTTGCAGTTTTTGTCTTTGCGGTAAACACGAATTTGGCTCTAATGAGTATTTGAGTATTTGGAAACAAATAAATGCAAGTCTGCGCGTGACATAAGCCTGTGTTAACTAATCAACTTGAAACATACTTTAAAAAATTGCTTTTGATAATATCCCAAAACTTTTTCAATGGAACGATGAGGAGTTATTTTCAGAATCATGTAAGGTGTTTGAGAAGCAAGAGTAAATATCATGATTGTTTTTGTTAGACGTCAGAACTGATAGTACAGATATTTATTACGTAAGGTTCATTCCTAAGATCTGGAAGACAAAACAATCTTAACCTCTTGCTTTTGTCAAACTAAGCAGCATTTTTTTCTTTCTCAACAGCTAAGTATTGTAACAAAGAATCGATATTGGTTTTTTTTTCGTAAATTGGTTTTCTGAATTTTTTTTACGGAAAGTGTTTTCTAAAGCATTTTCCTTACATTTACATTAAAACACCAAAGATAAACGAAATTAGTGGAAATTGATCAAAACGTAAAAAAGCTGGCGTTCAATTATAATACTATAAACTTTCATATTGCAGTAAGGAAATATTTTTTTATAATTAAAACATTTTGTTATGATTGTATTCTACATTACATTACGAAGATTTTTTCAAATTTTCAATTTAATAGCATTTTTGCGATTAAATATTTTGAATGAAATTAGTATTATGGAACTCATAGTCAAAGTCAACAAGAAATGACTTTCGGCTTCTAATGCTAATGCAGTACCAGCAGAAAGAATTATGCTTCGACACAGCACATTTGTGATGACAATGAAGACCAGTATGACGACTCAATGATCATAACGGAGAATTCAATGGCTCTTGGGAAGTTGGATGTGAATCGTGAATATAAATGTTGGAGAGAACAATGGTTGTGCAGAATGTTATAACCTAATATTAAAGTTATTGGCAAGAACATTTTATTCACGAAATCTTTAAGAAAACGCTATTATTTTTAAAAATTATTTTTTGCCACGGATAGTAAACAATTATCAGAAAGACGTATAATGCAAATATGCGAATAACATTGAGTTCCTTTAACCGCGTCATTTGATTTGGTGACATATGGATTAGAGTTTTCTGATCAGTCTTTTTAATTTGTTAAAACGTCAAATATCGTGAGTCACAAAACGATCACTTGCTCTGATACATCAAACGACCGCAGACTTCTCCCACTCATTCGGAACATTTTTTCGTTTCGACCGCATACTTTTGGCCTTCAGATGATAACATGATCCAACAATTTATCTGCATTCGTTTAGTCTACCTTCGAATAAGGACTAAATATTATTCAATACTACTATTCAATAAAGATTCCAAAGTAATGATACCAATGTCTACATCTAAAGCAATAGATGAATTCTAGTATCGACTATATTGGATAGAAAACATAATATTATTATCATTGTTAAAATTATTTGATTAGCTTGGCGTTTAGAATTGATGATCAAATACTCTCTCTCTCTCTCTTGTCCTTTAATCTCGCTCTCTCACTCTCCCACACACACACACAACACACACACAGGCACACACACACACATTAAGAATTTGGTTCGGTGTTGTTTTATATTTAGATCTCAGTATCGTTGCTGCCTGATATCCAATTCGGTTTCACTTTTCCTAAGTCGTTGGCATATCCGAAAGCACTAACAATGATCAGAGGCCCCAGTCCATTTGGGACCGCGTTTGCTTACGTAAATCTGTCCGCCCGCCACCTCTGGACGGGCAAGGGAGCGGGCGCGAGCGCGGACGAAACCCGATCTGGACGGGAAGGTGTCCGACCTCGACGCCAGGACTCTCGCCTTACGCGTCGGCCGCCACCTTCGGCGAGCCGCCCACGGTCGGATGGCCAAGCGCAAACGGAGGGTTTGCAGCGAAGCGGCGCGTTTCAAAAGCCCGACAGCCGGGAACACACTACGCCTCAAGTGAGAGTG